CAAATGAGATATAATAGCTTTGCTAATGAGCATTGAAATAGATACGCTCCCACCAGTCAATTAGTATTACGTGGCGGTTGCAAGAAACCGGTTTTCTACCTCATTGAAATCTTAGCTAATTTGTCTGTCTGCGAGAGCACTTCTTTGTTTTTCTTTTACTTACCATAGCACTTCGTTTTACTACATTTAACTGTCTCAGCGGCTCAAGGATTTGTATCACACGAATTTTCCTTTTGATGTTTTTCATTTTTAATGATTTCAAGAGGCAACTGAAATTTGAATTTTAAATTGAAGACACAAACTGTTAATTGCAAAATAATTACGTGATCGAAATGCACCTCAAAGTAAATGATCGTTTAAATAATGTTTGTTTATTTATTAATATTATGTTGTTTCTTATGTTTTATTTCTTATTTTGATATCTATTTTAAGACTATTTTAAGACTATTTTTGATGTCTAAACCTTACATTATAAAGTTTAAACAAACACGACTTGAACGGCTTCAAAGTAAAGTTCATCCCATTTTCAATTTCACTTATAATCTGTGTCCATGCTACTATTTGATTTGCTAACTTAAAGCCTACCCTTCTACTCTCTTGCCAAGACTCAACTCGTATCCTACACTTAGTTCTCGCGAGCCTATACTAAACTAAGTCACTTATCTCTTGTGTAGACAAAACTTGACTGCAACTTTAACTTAAGCCAATTACTTTCACTTTGTTCTGATTTCCTTTACTTACCTAACCCTAATTCTTAACCTACCTAAGTCTAGCAATCCACCCTCAGAGACGAAGAACCTGGGACGACTTTAGCTCCTCACAATACATACGTTTATTAATTATATTCCTAACACTTGCGTAGGTACCTACGTGCAATCTTTGCTAATTCTTTGAACTATGTAAATACGTAGGAAGTACGCATTTAAGTCATTTTGTCATTTTTAATGCGTCCGATTTTTCTATTTTTCATTTTTAACTCAAAAGAATTGAGTTGGGATTATGAGAGTGAACAAATAATTTAAAAAATTCCTTTTCTTCAATAAATATTAAATTCATTTTTACTAAAAAGTATGTTTTTTTATTAAACACAGAAAGAAACTCAGGCCACACTGCGATAATGCGCATTGCTTTATCGTTGCATTGTCAATATACGTGCGCTGTTTTTTGATCATGTATGTATAAATACGTTGCTTTGGTTACGTACATGCATATACGTTTAATTTCTCTTCACCACATCCGCTGATTAGATAATTTTCATTTTCATTTCCATAATTTTCATTCTCTTGTGTTATTATAGATATGCTCTTCTTAATGTATTTTACGAGTTATTTCAACAAGCGACCCATAAGACTGGTTTCACATACATATATACCTCCATAAGAATACTTTCATATTTTTATACCAGTTTTCTTTATTTATATACATTCGATTTCCTCAATCCGTACACATACTGTTAATGCATGTTCATGACATGCATATTTATTAAATACGCAGTGAGCTTGCTAAAACCAGACTTTGATATATCCATACACGCTTTATATGAACTCCATGTTCACACACGTAGAACAATCAATAGACGTAGCCTCACATATTCAAACCAAACACTCATTGTAGTACATACAATTCTCGCTACTAATAGGTACAAGCATAGTTATAAGCAATGATGTAACGGTAAAGCGATGGTAGCGGCTATAAAAGCGCAATATACAACACAGATTGGCATTTTAAAAAGGACATCAAATATACGTTAAGAATTCGAAATATCAGACATTATAGCTTCTCAGAACACCCTTATATATGACAACATAGACAAAGTGAACATATTGGTATAATAGTAACAAGTAAGTGAGCAATTATAAATTTAACATTGCAGAAAGATATACGAAATTTCCGACATGAAGAGAAACGCAGTCGCAGCCATCAAATGTTTGGAAAGATGCACTTGATCAGAGAACACTTTTGTACATACGACTACCGTACGCGAACTATACAGGGAACTATACCCAGGTGGCTCCGATTTGAAAAATAACTTTATCTAATTCTTGGTACGCTAGTGATGCTTTACCAACACTATGAATTAGAAGATGTTTTGCTGATTTTACTACTGCTTCCCATAGTCGTCCAAAATGAGATGCCCTGGGTGGAAATAATCTAATTATCCACTCGAAGATTCCTTTATCGTCAAGGAAAGGATGTAAAGAACAAATTGGACTCTGTTTTTCAATTTCTTGACATATAGAAAAAATCATAATTATTTGAGGTTGCTAACATCATAGATGCATTTTTCTTTCTCTCAAGATTTGTGGGAATACGTAAATGTGGTAACAGCTGTGTAGGGCCACAGTCTTGACTGCCATGTAAGAGTAATGGTCCTAAAAACCATAATTCACATTTAGGCAAGGCTTCTGCTGATAACTCTCTGCTGAATTTTCCTTGAATGGAATATACCGCCATTGCTGCGGTAGAATTAATGTCTGAATTTCTGAAATTCTATTGTCAGCAAATGTCTGGAATGACGAAGACTGAGAATTTATTCACGATAGGACGATCTCCGAACGGATCCACAAATGAATGGATAAATTGTTGATTTGCATATCGATGTGCCCGTTGCGCAGCCAGCCGTCCTGCGAGTAGTGCTACTCGGGATTTCGAGCACAATAAACGTGTCATTATTGCGCCGTCTTTTAACTCTTTGCACTCGAAGTTTCTTTTCATTCGTGTTGCAATCCGCGGGCCACGACCGTCATTTGTCACCAACAGCGAAACACCGGAATACTAGTTTTTACAATTTGTTTTTGTTTTTATGTTAAGAATTGCAAATTATTTACAATGTCTCCCTCGAACTCTCGAGTTTGAAGACCAATTTTAAATGGCTCCGCTCCGGAGCCCTCGAGTGCAAAGGGTTAATATGCGTCGCAGGTATAACGCTCATCCAAATGCTTCCTCGGAAGTATCCCAAAAAATGTGTAGTTAAATAGATGATGAAAATTGCCTTTTAACATATGTCGACGAATTTTGAGATCGTTCGATTTGGCTAAGTTATCATGAAAGTTACACAATGTGCTGTTTAAATTTTCGGATAGATCTTCAATCCAGGATAATTTAAGCTGCTATAACTGTTGGATAAAGAATTTTGCTCTGATTAGAACAGGACCAGTGGGTTGCATAGACTTGCCAAATCAAAATAAACGCGTGCGTTTTGTGGCACGCCTTATTAGTTCTACCTTTACCTTAACGCAAAGGTGGTCAACTTTTGGTAGCCATGAAAGTGGCAGCGTCTTAATAGGTTCCTTACCGTCCTCGGTGAAATTAAAATTGACTTCACGATCACCTTGAGGAAAACCTTGGGGAAATCCAGAATGGTCTGCCCCCATTTGCGGCAATTACATCCACGCCTTTTTAAAATGCGTATCAACTATTGTTGTGAATCAATTGTTTTACCTGAATTATTTGATCCTCCTAGTCCATCATCTACGTAGAAGTTGTCGTTAAGGATTTGAACTCCTAATGGATTATTGATTTTCGTTTTCAATTGCAATTTTTTGCAAACATTTAGTAGCAAAAAATGGTACAGCCCGAGTTTCATATGTAACCCTATTGATTTGATAGTATTTCACAAGCGATGATGCGCCAGTTCTCCTTAAAAACATTTGATATTTTCTGTCATTTAGATGTAACACAACTTCTCAATGTCTGTTATGAAGGTAAACGGCTATAGTATTGGGAACAGTTCACTTTAGATTGTTGGACCCATGTACATTACATCGTTGAGCGAATAGCTCATGTTTTGGAAGACACATCAACGACTACACACAATTTTGTTGTTATGCTATCTGGTTTTAGGACCCAACGGTGTGGAATGAAATAATTTGGCCTGAGCACAGAATTGATGTTGACTTGAATCATATGACCCATTTGTTCATATTCGTGAATGAAATTAAAATGTTTTGATTTAAGAGCGGGATCTCTCAGTAAAAGAGGCACTTCCGATAAGCTATGTCCTTTGATTCGCGGAAGGGCAATTTGAGTATGAAGCAGCCTTCATGAGTTTTGGGTAGATATAAAATGTGCGTCGCATTGTTGTCCATTTTGCGATAAACCATTATCATAAGAACCCCCATCATCAATTTTCCAAAGTCGCTTAATCACCTCAGTTAACAGTTCACTGTTTTTTGATTCGGAGCCGGTGTTGGAGATTGCGCATGTTGCAGCATTGGTTATAGTTTGATTTTGTGATAATTTACCACTGACGATTCAACCAGGAGATATATTTAAGAGAGCTACAAGATTATCGAATAACACTATCTTCCTATTTTGAAGTTGAAATTATATTCTGCACCAATATGGATCAGCTAAATGTAGATTTAGAATTTTCCATGTAGAAATATCGAACAGTTCATTTGGGTGAACCGGAATGGTTGAGGGAAGGGCAAATGCTTCCAAATCTCATCTTGTGAAATCATTAATTCTTGATGCTAGTTGCGCATTTATACGCCTTGTTGATTTCTGTTGTCCACTTCCAATACAATCGATGCATAGTGATGCTTCTAATGTTGAAATGGACTGGCTTTTGACGCCGCGTTCGGATACGAGGGTCACTTGTGAACCGGAATACAGAATTTTTTGGAATTCTGTTGAATTTCTATTGGCTACAATTACTCTTACTCTAGCTGTTGCTGGTAAGATCCTTATGCGGGGCAATAATATGTTTGTGGTTGATGTCACAACTATATTGCCTAAATTCGGTAAATTCGCGTGCAATACCCATTGGAAATACAATTGAAGACATTAGTAAGAAGTGGTGCTTGAGATTTTTATGCAACTGTTTAATTATAATGAAATCCTCGGCATATGCACCGAAGTTATTGCCTCTATGAAGAATACATAATTTTTTATGCGTAATTAAATTAAAGAAGACAGAGTTAGGAAAGTCTCGCCGTATTACATTTATGGGTGGAAAAATATCAGGTTGAAAACAATCCACACGGACTTTAATTTACCTATTTTTCATAAAAATTGATAATGATATGTCAAACTTACCATTCTTTGAATTGTTCGGTAACTGGTAGGTTCGAAGTTTATCAAATCCTTTCTTTTCTTTTTGCAAGCATCCCAAGCGAATAATATGTAATCTATTATAAATATGTTATAATATTATAAGTATTGCGATTTATGTACAAGATATAACAGTGAAATAGAATGAAATACAATTAGATCACTGCATGTCTCCCAATACAGTATATTTTGATGCATAATTGGTGAGCACAAACACAAGTGCGTATCTTTTGGGCATAATTGGGAACATGAACATGAATATTTATTTTATTTATTTATTGATTTACTTATACATGAAATTCAATTAAGCCAAATTGACAGTCGAATTCAAGTAAATTTTATACCAATTATTTTAGAAACTAGTATGCAATACATTTGAAGATGTGAAAAAAGAATAATAAAAACAAAGTAACTTAGGATAATAATTCATGTATAAATAAACAGGAAAGAAAACAAAAAAAAAGGAAAGCATGTACAACCACAACAAGGACAGGTCAAGGTTGCAAATGAACCCCTAAACCATTGCAAACATGCGTAAGCTTGGCAATCGAACACGTTAACAAAATATTTAGTTTTCGAAACAAAAAAATATGAATTTGAGAATGGAAATTAGTTAAAATACGACATAGGTAAATCGCGCGTATTGAGCAAAATTTCTTTAGAGAATCCGATGTTGAAAATATATGACAAACATCATTTATGGTCCTGCAAACAACTCGGAGCGGGCTAAACAGCTCATAATTGCATTTACATTGACGAAGCTTTGAAAAATTGAGTGCCTAAAGAAGCGGATGAAGACACTAAAGCTTATCTGACCAAATAATCCGGGCGAGTCAATAGTACCATTTATTACTTTGATTACAAAGGAAACGCCAAGAATAAATCTGCGTTTCACAAGTGGCGGTAAGGATAACAGAAGCAACCTATTTTCACAGGGAGGAAGAGAGGCAATCGAGTCCCAACCCAAATTTCTTAGAGCAACCAGTACGAATTGCTTTTGAACAGATTCAATTCAATCAACATAGCGCCTATATGAAGAAGACCGCACAACAGAGGCAAACTCAAGTATAGGTCTAACCAAATGTACAGCCTTTTTGTAATATAAGGATCATCAATCTCTTGTAAAACCAAGCGCGGTCTTAGTTTTGCTTAACGAGAGCTCAATATGCAAGTTAAAAAGTAACCCTTGGTCAAATGGAACGCCTAAATCTATGAAAGAGTCGACGTCCTCCAACTTGTGCGAGTTAATGAAATATTCAGTAATGAATGACTTTCTTCTTGAGAAAGAAAGCTTCTTACATATACTTAGATTTAATTCAACGAGCACCATGCAACCATATTCTTTAAGTCAATTTGAAGCTGATGTGATTGCGATTTTATGGAAAAGGAAGTAAAGAGTTTCACATCGCCTGCTTACATCAAGATCTGGCTGGATTTAATCACCGAGGCCAGGTCATTAATGTATAAATCACATAAAATGGGTCCTAAGTGGCTGCCTTGAGTAAAGCCAGACCTTACGGGGAATTCATCCAAGGTGATGAACTTAAACAAGACACTCTATTGTGCAGATAAGAGCTTATCCATTTCACTAAGTAGAAAGCCAGAGGCTTGGAGTTTGAAAATTGTCACGGGCATAGCTCTTTGGGCGGTAGAGCGTTTACAAATTTATACAGGCATGCTGTGCCACATGACAAAAAAAATTTAAAAAAATGAAAGTAATAACGAAAAGATTTGAACTTGAAGGAGGGTAAAAATAAAATAAAAGAAAGAAAGGGTCCAATCAAACCTTCAATGAGTTCACACTGTGTAAGTCCGTTTCTGAGCTTTGTTGTCCGTACTGTACGCCATTCGTTGGTCCCTTCTTAGTCCGTCGGTAGCTGTCCCCAGTCCGCCTACCTTCACTCGCGCGTACACCCACTCACACTCTGCTTCAGCGGAGCAGTATGCCGTTAAGCTACACATTCTTATCCATGCACTTTTAATTTTAACTTTTATTCTTTTTGACGTCTTAACTCGTTATTTTATTTATTTACTAATTTCTTCAAAAAAAAGGTTCATTGGAGATCCAAAGCTAAATTTTTAAATTTACCATTTATATAGATTTATGGCTGGAATGAAATTTCCTTTATGTCCCCTTTTCAAGTTACTTAAATGCCACATATTTACATTAGCTTTTTAGTTTTATAACTTGTTCGTATAATTTCTTTCCGAGAGAATCAGTTTTTCACACTCCTCGCCCGACTAAGACATGATCAAGAAATTTCATTAAGTTTTGAAATATTAAAATCAATTCTAAGTGACAATATTCTCTGCACCTTCTACTTCGTATGTCACTTAACTACTCCCCTCCAAAAAAATCATTTTCTCCTGTCGATCTCTTTTCATAACGGCAAGCCGCTATTCTAGCAAAGAATGTGATATCGAATAACGCCTTGTCGCTCTTACGATCCTGCACTTGGACGTTACGAGATCAGTAAGTTATGGTTAACCAAATCAAACTCTCTATTAAAATCGGTGTATACGACATCAGTCCAAGAAACACTTGAAAAGGTCTTGAAGGCCTGCATTACTTGGTGAAATAAGCTTTAATGTCCCCAACCGCTTCTCTAGGCACTTTACCTTGGTTAAGCTTAGTAAATGTAAATATAATAATAAGCTGTTTATCCCGCTCAGAGTTATTTGCAAGAACCTAAATGATGTCTATCACTTATTCTCATTTTGGACTCTTTGAAGTCCGTTAAAGCAACATTGCTTTATGCGCGTAATTTAGTTATGTCGTACTTAAACTAGCTCTTAACCTTAAAATGTTACGATGAGTTGAAAATGAATTGTTGTTAACTATGATCGGTTGCCAAGCTTATGCATGTTTGCGATGGCTTAGGGGTTCAATCGCCATTTAGTCCTGTATCGGTTGTGGGCTATGCTAGTTCTGTATGTGCTTCTTTCTTTTTTTTCTTTTTCTTGCTTCTTATTTGTTTTATTGTACTTGTACTAAGTTTTAATATTAATTAATTTCAGATTTACTTTAAGAGTCAATTGAACTCGACTGTTAAAATTTTTAGTTGAGTTTCTTGTATAAGTGGAGTAAATAAATAAATATCATTTAACAAGTTAAATAAATGTAAAGGATTTGATAATAAAAGTTGAAAGTAGAAGTTCAAAACATGACAAGTAAACTCTGACAGATTAGTGACAATAGATCTTCCTTTTCGAAAGCCATGTTGAAATGGAGATATAAGCGATTTGATGAGAAAACCCACGCTGAGAAACAACTCGTTTGAACAATTTAGGCAGTTGTCTACTTCCACTTTTCGTAATAGAAATAAGAAGACTGCTCTTCCAACATAAATAGAAAACACGTAAATTCAGGGACTGGTTTAAAATCTTTGAGATAACACCACATAGCTCGGGAACGCGCAACTATACTTTAGAGAGCTCAACACGTCTAAAACGTAATTTTCTGTAATAACCATAGTAGGAACTGAAACCGAATTAGTTATTGGATGTGGGTAGTTTACAGTTAAAGCGGAATTAGCAGTCGGAAAATTTCGTCGGAAATATCCAAAAAAGAGATTTGAAGTTTCAATATCATCCAAGGGCTCAGAGCCATTGAAAGAAACATGCGAGAGATTTATGGAGATTTTTCTCTTGGAGTTAACAAATTTAAAAAAGTATTTAGGATTAGCAAACAGTGGGGACTTCATAAACCGAAGGAATCTGCAATAAGATTGTTGGTTGAGGGAATTAAATCTGCACCTTGCCGCCGAGTAAGCGAAATAATCGAAAGCAGAGCCATTTTTCGAATGTTTTTTGAACAGCGTGTTTTTTCTATTCTTGTAATATTTAATTGTCTTATTAAACCACACCTGGGGGCACCAGGGGACACCTGCTTCGAGGTCGGGACTGCTTGATCGGAACTGATGCAAAAATAACTAGATTTAATATATTATAGAACGAATATATATGAAAGATGAGATTTTAGCAATAAAATATTGATTTTATGGAAATCATAATATTTATTTGAAAAAGTTGAATTTGGAACGCTAAAACAGTTCAACGAATCATCATGCTTGTGATGAAACGGAATATAAGGATGATAAGGATCCTCAGATAAACTAAAAGGTGGACAATGATTTATACTAATCTCAAGGATATTGGCAAAGCAGAGATCAAGCAGTCTACCATGAACTAAATTATGATCAAATAATTCGTTAAAGAACACAACAGCTCTGTCAGATGTTGAAGTAAGAATCAAACAGCCAGAATTATGAATGTAACACCAAGTGACTTGAGGCAAATTGAAGTCACCCAATGCTATTACTATATCGATGGGCTTTAATTGCTTGGCCACTTCACAAATGAGGCCAGACTATTTCTTTTACATGGAGGTATCAGATGAGGGAATATAGGAACAGCTTATAAATAGCTATTTATTAGGCATTTTCGTTCGAATGGCGATAAATTCAACGTCAGGAATAGTAGGAAATTCAATTCAATAGGACGGGAGTGCCGCAGATGTAGCAATGAATACACCATCACCAATACGATTCAATCGATCATTTCTGAAAACCTGGGAAGAATTGTGCAAAAGTTCAGTGGAAGTTTCAGTGGAAGCCACACAGAAAAACTCCTTTGAATTTAGGTCCCTAACATTTTGATAAATGAGAGATAATGAGCCTGGAGAAACATTAAGTTTTTTGAAGGGGAGAGGCCTACTGCGTTAATATTACGGGGTCGATCACGAGAATTAATTCGTTAATTAAGGATCCAAGTGGATCCACAATCGTTTACTTGACGACATATCTATGTTTTCAGTCGGAACTAGCATTTTAAAAGACAAGATTGCTTTAGGTTGAGAAGGAGCAAATTTGAAAATGCTAACACGCTTTAAATTGACTGACTGGACTTTCGTTGCCTGATAACTTCTTATGTTATCCACAGATGTATCAGGTGCCAGTCTTGACACAAATATTGCCTTTCTGGGAGGAACTGCCGTCAAGCAAATATCATCTCTACTAGGAACAGTAGGGTTCACGGCTGGCCAGGTTTGAGTTGGGGAGAATATAGAAGGGGTAAC